TTTATCCAAAGATGGAATGGGCTCTCAAGTGAGGGGCTGATTTCCCCCATCACTGGAAATCTTCAGGCAGGATTTAATGAGAGATTTTACTGAGTGAAATTGACATGAGTAAGCATTGGACGAAGGTGACAAATACAATCCACTCCTCCTGTAAAATGGTGTAATCTCACATACACAATTGGGTAAAAACAGTATAGCTGTAGTTTAGACAATTAACTAGGTCATTGCTTTGGTTAGAACTATTCTTTACAACTTACAGAGACACAAGAATTTAGTCAGTACTCTTTAGCTCATAGTTGAAGTGGCCAATCTAGGAGAAAGAATAATTTTCCTCCCACACATACAGGAAGATTTTCCAGGCCTGACTCAGGCACAGAAACAAAAAATTGTGAAAGCTCTGTTCATTCATCTCTGAAAGCTAGCTTCCCTGGTCACACCTTTGTGGATGAAGAATCTAGAATAGGCTTTTCCTTGTGTGACCAAACTCGGGTTCCAAGCTTCCTGTGACAGATCTAAGAACCCGTAGATCCTCATGGCTCTGATGTCATCTCTGAAGATGCCTTTCAAGAGAATGCAGGACCAACGTCCCTAGACATGAACAAAATGGAACACTTGTTCTTCCTGCCCCCACTTCCTTGGAAGGGACCCCATGTCTCAACCTGGTCAAACGAGTAGGAGAGTTTTATTTTTAAAACAATGTTTTAATCACTTGAAGATTGTGGTTCTTCTTATTCTGTAACTCTTAAATAAAGCCTACTGTGCTTTTTCTTTTCTTCCCTGCTAGTGGTTCACTCCTGCAGGCTTTAAGAAAAGGGCTCTTCCTTTGTATTGCTTTGTGCTGAGAATCCATCCATCAATCATGAAAATTCAGCAGTGCCAGTTTATTAAACTCATTCATAGGGTGTTCTTAAGGGCCATGCTTGGCCCAGATCATGATTTCCTCTCATTCTAATAACCATGATTTACATAGACTCAAATTTTTAATACATTTCCTTTCTTTGTATCATGAACCACATCACTGAAATATAGCAAGACCCAGTATAGTACATCCTGTGAAGAAGATAACCATGCCTTAAGAACATCAAAGTAGCAGCTGCTATACTACAGCCAATGAGACATGGCATTCCAGGGCTAACCTCAGGATTCCCTACTTGTAATCCGTGAAGTCCTGTTTGAGTTACTCGATTATTCTAGTCCTCAGTTTCATTATCTGCAAAATGGGGATATGATAAACAGTATCTTCCTCAAAGCATTGTTGTGATAACTAAAAGAGATCGTCCACGTAAAGCATATGGCATGGTGCCTACCTTGTACCAGACATTGGTTATTATTATTCCAATATGTTACAAAATTTTGACCATTTCCTGAGTCAACCAGAGCCCTACAGATTAAAAAAATAAAAAGTAATCCAAACTCTAAGATCTCAAAGAAAGCACTTGTAATTTGTTCCAAGTGGCATGCTCTTTAATTGGTATTAATCCCAATATACTTGGCTCAGGTACTGGCTTCAGGCTTTTTCTGCTCTCAGACAGTGGTCTAATAGAGTGAACACTCCACTGAGAGCCAAGAGGTGTGGCTTATTGTCTGAACTTGGCCACCAATCCCCTAACTGACCTTGACAAACGCTTTCTCCATATCTGATTCTCAAGTTTCTCATCTGAATATATATATATATGGATATATATATATATATATATCCTTGCAGACCAAGGATTCAGTGAATTATAAAGGCCCAGTAGTCATTTCCAAGGACATCTTTCCTAAAGGTCCCTGGAGAAGTGAGAATTCTACCCACTGGTGGAGGATCTTTTAGGAGGCAGGGGAAGGAATAAGGGCAGGGTCTTTTCCTAAGACAAAAAACCACATACAAGATTACAATTCCTTTTAAAAGTATCCTTTCTAACATGATGGACCAATCAGTCAGCCACCCTCTAGGGGACCCTACTGAGTACAAGGTACCATTTTGTACAGAGGAATAGAAGACAGCATTCTAGAAGGCAACACTGAGGTTGAAAAGCAGGCTCTGAAAAGGTAACAAGCATAGCAATACAGTAAATATAATTAATTGATTACAGGGAAATTTTATATGAGGTTGCCCTGCCCCCTAAGCACCTGCTCTAGGCACTTTGCATATATTAACTTTTCCATTCTCCCAGCAACCTTAACGAGATGGTTCCTATTATTTCCTTATTTTCTTGATGAGCAAACCATGGCATACAAAGCTTAGTCAACTTGTACAGGGTTCCATATAGTAGGTGTTGGAGCTAAGTTTCCGAATCCAGGTAGTCTAGCTCTAGGTTAGTTCATTTTGCTCACCACTAAGGCTTAAAAGGATAAGTGGGGCCAAGTGAGGACAGAACAGACGTGAAGTGAGCAAGAGAGAGCTGTAACGATGGCAGGAGAGAGCGTGCGTGTAACTTCATATAACTGCAAGCCCAAGTGTTCAGACCTTCACAAGTCAAGAGGAAGTGAAATGAATCACCACCCAATGTCAGTACCCTATCATCCTGAGCCAATTAGGAATGTTCTTTCCATAGTTCTGTTCTCCTTTGTGTTTCCAAAGTAACAATGCCCTCCATTCTGAAACCCAGTATTTTATATTTGATTGACATCGGCTTCCCAAATATTATAAGACTCTTTCTTGTGACGGTGCTGACACTGGAGTTCAGACATGAAAATAATAGAATTTATTATTCAATTCTAGCACAAATAAGATAATAGCATTGGGAACCTATGAATTGTATTCATGCCCACATCTGACAGATCAGAAAAAGGAAGTTCAAAGAAGCTGGCTTCACTCACAGTGAGCCACTGACAGAGTGGACGATCTGGAGCCAGAGGAAGTCTTTCCAGCCTGCCAGCTGAGGCAAGTGAAAAACCTAAAGCCATGTGCAACTTTAGGCTGGACCGATGATGACTAGGTGACATTTTTAAAGTCATCATTGAGAAGCATTCAGGAAAGGAAAGGAGATGGAGACTCAGGCTTGAGGTCTACAGAAAAGACCTCTTCACAGTAAAAATGGACCCTACATGGAAAGGAACCTTTGCAAAGGAATGAGTTCTCAGGCACTAGGAGTGTCCAAGGCAAGGGTGTTTAGAACCCCCTAGAATGGTCTGCCCCAACCCAGCGGGAAGAAACCCACTTGCCCCAACAAAGCAGAGAGGGTCATCTGATGATAATGAGCAGGCATTTGAATAGACCTCAAGAATGTCATGGAAAGGATTCCTGCTGGCCACGATCCATTACAACTCCAAGGTGTTGTGATGATGGTGGGGATGATGAAGATGCAGAAAATGAGGAAGACAGGGATTAGACACACTAAAAATTACCATTGTTGTTTTAAAAATCTCATGACCAAGTCTCTGTAACCTAGCTGGTTTGAAATTCATCAGTCAGCCAACAAAGAATAATTAGAGCTTGTACGATTCATTGTTAGAAGAAATTCAGACATGTATCTTTCCTTGACTTAACTGCTTTGTGGCTAACTTGCTGATTTCCAAGCTAGTGTGCATATGCCTCTCTCTGATTGTGCCCTGTCCTTAGGTAGCGCTCTTGGTAATACAGATTTTCTGTAGTTTTATCGGGAGTGAGGGTGGCTTATCGTGAGGGCTTCGGGGGAGTATTCCAGTTTCCCCTCCAGATACCAAGCAGGTTATTGGCAAGCAGACAGAGGACTCAGTACTGGGGAACAGAAAAAGCATTGCCCTGAAGAAGCAATGAAGGTGCATTCTCCGAGCAACTTTGTGCTTCCCCCTTGGAGCTCGCTGGCCGCAGGACATTGCCATTCCCCACATCTTAGCCAGGACACTGAGCAGTCTGTTCAGTCTAAAACCCAGACCACACCAAGAAGTAGGTAAGAAAATAAAAATCATGTAACTGTTGATCATGACTACCACCCCAACAAGTTGGACTGATTTTATTATTTCATTGACCTGACCAAAACCTTCTCGGTACTGGGGATGAGCCTACAGTGTTGCCAGAGTTCCATTTACTTGTTTCCTTTATAAAGTAACTCTGAATTTCAAGCCAGGGATTACAAAGTTCCAAAGCCAGGCTTAGCTTTCTGTTCCCCCGCCCTAAAAATGATCCGTATGCTGTGTGATCTATGGCAAGTTGCTTGACCTCTCTGGCATTGAGGGAAAATGAGGAGCTTGACTGAAGCTAATTTTAAGGTCTTCTTCAGTTTTAGAAATATTTTCTTCCTTCTGAAGGAATTGGATTCTTCTTCATTTAGTGACTCCAAGATGGTTTCAGGAAACTAGACAGGACTAAGGCAAGTGCATATTCAGTGTTGACCTTCCAGAAGCTTTTAAGGCTGGACAGTGAAATCACTGAGCCCTCTGGATAATCAAAATTAAGTTAGCACCATTATGCAGGGATGCCTGGAGCAGACAAGAGAAGGGCATGGAATACACTGGGCGATCATTTGGGTTTCTCTGTGTGAAATGAAAGGGCTTTGCACTCGCTGGAGTTCTCTTAGGCTGCTCTCTCTTCTAAGATTCTGTGATCTTATTTTTTAATAGTTTTCATGAAAGAGGAGGCAGGAAGACTCGGGCGAAACCTTTTCCTGTGTCCCCCACCTAACAAGAAATAGAGAAAGACCCTTTAATGATTTAAGTTTACTCATGAAGGAAGTCCATGTGAATTTGATTTGTGACATATATGGCTGTGTGCTCTTCTGTTTTGTTCAAGGGATGCTAGTTCAGAGGGAGGAGAGCTGGAGAATCTTGCCCAGAATCCCCTTGCCCAGAATCCCCTTTTGCTGGGAAGGGAATTGGATTCACTCCTGGGCTCTCACTGGAAGGGTGGAGGGAGGGATGGAGATAATGCTCTGTGAAGAGTTAATGAAGATATGGATTCCTCCTTTAAAAAAAAGTTTTAATATTTTTTTCTTGCCATTTGCCCTTAACTCCAAACACCAGAAAACCTTAACTCTTCCAGAAGTCCAGTTTTGCTGTGAAGTAATTTATTCTCCTTCTTCTTTTTTTTTTAATTACAGTATTCTCAAATGAGGGACGAAGTATTCAAGTCAAACTTGGTCTGTGCATTTATTGTTCTTCTGTTTATCACGGCGATACAAAGTTTGCTTCCTTCTTCAAGGTAAATACGAGAGGACTAAGTTCTCAGGTGAAATGTCTTTGTGAGTTGATGGTCCCTCACCTGGAGCCAGCCAGCTGACCTTTCCAAGGGATCGGAATTTAAAATAACGGGATCCAGGATCCACACCAAAATGTTTGACAATATCAGTGTCTATCCTGGTTGTCTTACTTGGCATCATCTCACTGCTCTGCAATGAGTCTTTCTCACGATCTTAATAAAAACAACAACCAAAATCAAAATAGGCCCCAGTCTTATTTGCCACTGCACCCGTGAATGCAGCATGTAAGTATTAGAGCCTCTACCACCACGGTCTTGTGCCTCTGTTAATCCCTTCTTTGTCGTTCATAGATACAGCACCAAAGCTTCCCGGGCCAGCAAAACTGGCCCTTTAATAGTACCACAAACACCTATATGTGGCCAGTCACTGTTCCAAATACTTTCCATGCAACAACCCATGAAATCCTCATGGCAACCCTGTGAGGTAGGTACTACTATTGTCCCCATTTTAAAGAGGAGAGTACTGAGGCTCAGAGTCATGGAATAATTTGTACCAGGTTTCACCACTGAAAAAGTTACAGCCTGCATTCAAACCCAGGAAGTCTCCCTCCAGAGTCTGGGCTCTTGACATTCTATCAGACACGGACGTATATGGTACAGGTCGTCGGTGCCAGAGCCAGCATTTGAACTTAGTTCTGGGTTAGTCGAGAGGCCATGCTTTGTGTTCTTCCTGTACTTTAAGGAAGCCCCCACATCCTTGCTCAGGTAAAGTCCCTTCTCCTTAAACTTACTATGAATTCTCCCCTTTAATGGGATCGACACATATCTGTGAAATGTCTCGTACAGGCTAGCAATATGCCAGCCCTCGACGATGGTATAATGTTGTAAGAGGAGGTCTGCATCCTCTAAGATGTAGTTTATTGGGAGAGAGAGACATCAGTGCTGACTTCCAGTTAATGAGCACTTATTACATGGAAAGCACTAAATCCTTGGCATGCATTGTCTCAGCAAAGCCTCAAAGGCAACCAGTAAGTGAGAGAGCACTCTGATTCCCGTTTTGTGATGGCTGAGTTGGGAATTGAACCCAGAGACAGAGTCTGTGCTTTTGACTACCTACCTACTCTGTACCAAAATCAGTAATTCGTTCTGACCAGATGGCTGAAGGAAGAGTTTGCAGAAAAGGTAATATTTTGAGCTGAGCAGGATGAGATAGAAAGAGTAAGTGGAAGGGCATTCCACGTTTAAAAAAACAGCACTGGCAAAAGCACAGGGTGTGCAAGACGTTGTGTTTGTAGCGTAGTGGATACGTGGGAGAGTCTAGAGTAAAGGGTTTGTGTGAGGATGTGGTGGGCGCAGTAGCCGAAGAAGGAATGAGCAAGGGCAGGTTCAGTGTCTATAGTGATAAAAGGTGTTCAAGCTAAGTAACGTTCCGAGAATGACCATGCCTGACCTTCTCTGGATTAGCAGAGATACTAGGAGAAAGAGAAAGGGGACTCCAGGGAGTTGGTGGCAGAAGGTGGTGTATTTCGAAACAGCTAGATAGCAAAACCAAACACTTCGTGGACTGTATTTACAACAAAAACAGGTGAGATGATAGCCCCATAAGTTCCCAAATGGAAGTAGGTGGTGACAGTTTCCCAATAGCCCCAGGATTGGTGTGACATCAGCATCTGTGTAGGAGGAATCAGAAATAAGCATCTGTCATGTCTGGGAACAAAAGAATCCCAGTACGGCCAATAGATACTCACTGGGAAGTACCACCAGGTAAACTGAGGAAGCCGCCGGAAGCGGGAGGGGTTTGCCCAGTCTGGCACCCAGTGAGTGCGAAGGCCCACAGTAAGTTCAGAAGAGCCGGAACTGTCACACACCGGGAACCCACCAGACCAGCCACCCTGTCTCCCTCCCAAGAGAGCGCCTTGGAAGGATCTGTGTGTGGGGAATCCAGAGAACTCACAATAAAGACTATAGAGAAGAAGAAAAGCCAGGGTCATTGTAAAAGTGGAAAGAGAATGTAGCCAACACGCTTTTGAACACCACATGAAAGCAACTAAAGAGAGAGCTCTGTAGAGTTAAAAAATAAACTCTCCTAAACCACACCTATTTCTGGAAGTTCAGCAACGTTATTTGACACAAAAATGAGCAACAAATCATATTGGTGGCAATCCCATACCAAGCTATTATCAGAAGAAAGAGGGAGAAAAGTAGATCGATATCCTTACAGTCGATGAAAACATTCCAAAAATACAGGCCCACAATGTACATCAAATCTACAACCCACTACCTCAAAAGAATTGAAGCATTTCATGTGGTTCAGGACATGAATTAACAACCTAAACCAGAAGTAGAAAAACTTAGAAATTCAATAAGATAACTCAGGAAGGAAATAAAAATGAAAAGAAAGATACATTTCGGAAATGAAGACCTAAGAAAAGGGAACATAGAGCACATAAAGACACCAAATAGTGCCTTAAGAGGAACAGGAGGTAAAAAGGAAGAATTTTTTTAATAAAAAAGAAGAGTAAAAGGCGGAGCGCCCTCCCCTACACTTTCCCACCACACTGACAAGAATCCAGAAAATTAATGGTGGACTATAGCTGAAAGAACTGCAAGACACAGACTCTTTCTGAGGAGTTCTCAGGGGAGCCCAGTTCAAGAGGGGAGACAAAAGCAAGGACACGAGGAATTTGAAGCCACTGGTAGATATATAGCTACTGAAAACACTAAATGTAGCCCAACTCCAAGGGACATTTACTTAAATCCTCACCGTAAAGATCAATTCACTTCAGTTTCTCGAACCTGATACAATGTGACCAGTTTTCAACAAAAAAATTACAAGGTACACCAAAAGGAAAGAAGAGACAGAGCAATCATTAGAATCAGACTCAGGGATGACAAAGATGCTGAAATTATCAGAGAGAATTTAAAATAACTATTTTTAAGGTATTAAGTGTTCTTCACAGATTTGCACATAATGCTTGCACAGAGGCCATGCTAATCTTCTCTGTATTGTTCCAATTTTAGTATATGTGCTACTGAAGCAAGTACAATATATTAAGTGTTCTAATGGAAAAATTGGACACCATGCAAGAACAGATGGGCAGTATAAGTAGAGAGAAACTCTAAGAAAGAATCAAACAGAAATGCTAGAAATAAAAAGACTGCAACAGAAATAATGAATGGGCTCATCAGTAGACCCAACAAGACCAAGGAAAGAACCAGGGAGCTTGAATATAGGTCAACAAATTCTCTAAATACAAAGGAAAAAATAAGTGAAAAAAAAAAACAGGTCAAAGTATTTAAGAACCCACTTTAAACATAGAAAATCAAATATGTTAAAAGTAAAGGGATGGAGAAAGATAGACCATGCTAACACTAATCAAAAGAAAGCTGTAGTAACTATACTAATTTCAGTTAGAGTAGACTCAGAACAAGGAAAATTATCAGAGGTGAAGAGGACATTATATCATGATAAAAAAAAACACTTCTCAAAGAAGACATAACAATATGTATGTTATGTCTTGTATCTGCCTATGAAGAGAGTGTCAAAATACATGAAGATTAAATAACACATGGGCCAAAAAGAAATCTCAAGAGAAATTTCAAAATATTTTCACCTAAGTGAAAATGAAAATACAGTTTGTCAAAATTTGTAAGATGCAATGAAAGCAGTGCTTAGAGGGAAATTTACAGTAATCAATGCATATATGACAAGAGAAAGATCTAAAATCAATAATCTAAATTCTATCTTGGGAAACCAGAGAAAGAAAAGGAATTTAAACCTCAAACAAGTAGAAAATAAGAAATCATATAAATTAGGTCAGAAATCAATGAATTTGGAAACAGGAAAATAATAGAAAAATCAACAAAACTGAAATCTGGTTCTTTGAAAATATCAGTAAAATCAATAACCCCCTGGTCAAGTAAACAGAAGAGAGAGGCAGAGAAAGTGACACGCACACAAATTACCAATATCATAAGTGGAAGAAAGGTTTTCACTACTGATCCCACGGGCATTAAAATGATAATAAAAGAATATATGTGCATAAATTTGGTGACTGAGATGAAATAGACCAATTTGTTGAATGAGACACAAACTACCGAGATCCACACAAGAAGAAAAGGTTGACCTGAATAGCCCTATATCGATTAAAGAAACAGAGTCAGTGATTCTAAAACTGACTAAAAAAAATAAAACACCAGACCTAAATGGTTTCACTGGTGAATTCTACCAAAGGTTTAAAGAAAAAATCATACCAATTCTACACAATCTCTTCTAAAAATTAGAGGTGGAAGGAACAGTTCCTAACTTATTTTATGAGGTCAGCATTATCCTAATACCAAAATCCAGTAAAGACTTTGAAATAAAGGAGAACTACAGACCAATATCTTTCATCAACAGAGACAAAAAAATTCTCAACAAAATGTTAGCAAATCAAACCCAACAATGTATGAAAATAATTATACACCATAACCAAATAGCATATATTCCAGATAGGCAAGACTTATTCAGCAGTTGAAAATCAGTGTAATCCACCCTATCAACAAGCTAAAGAAGAAAAATCTTACGATCACATCAGTTGACACAGAAAAAGCATTTGACAAAATCCAATGCCCATTTAAAGCAAAAACTCTCAGAAAACTAGGAATAGAAGGGAACTTCCTTGACTTGATAAAACACAATCTACAAAGAACCTAGAGCTAGCATCATCCTTTGTGGTGATAGACAGGAACCTTTCCCCCTAATATCAGAAACAGGACAAGAATGTGCTATCTCACTATAACGACTTAATATCATATTACACATTCTTGCTAGTAAAATAGAACGTCAAAAAGGTTATGGTATACATATGGGAAAGGAAGAAATAAAACTAGGTGTATCTGCAAATGGCCTATGTAGAAAATCCAAAAAAAAAAAAAGCCACCAAAAAAACCCTCCTAACACTAATGAGCAAGTGTAGCAAGCTCACAGCATACAAAATCAATATACAAAAGTCAATTGCTTT